CCTATTAGTGTCTGTGAATTAGCACACTACATTTGGTGTCAGGAGTGTTAACGAATTTTTTGTTTAAATATTGTAGTATTGTTAGGAATTTTATTTTTTCCTTTCGAATCCTTGAGGGAGAAATAGACTATGCCGAAACCCGCAAAGAGGAAGGCTCTCACCCACAGGTCCTCGGGCGAGGAGGATTCCCGGGCAGGGCCGGCAGCTGAGACCCCTGTGGGGGGCCCCGGAGTGGCGATCCCGGCAGGGCAGTGGGCAAAGGGCGACAGCTCCGCGCCGCCGCCGGCTGAAGGAGGACTGCGGGCAATCAGCATGCACATCGTGGGGCTGCTCTCCACAGTGTCGATGCTGGTGGGGCAGCTGGGTAGGGAAGAGCCGAAGCAAGGGGCTGTGGTTCGGGGGTAGCAAGCGGGCGAGTCCGCCATCACTGCCGATCGAGGGCAGGAATCGGGTCCCACCGAATTTAACTTGCCGCCGACAGCACCGTTCCTCGCGCAGCGGCTGCCGCTTCTCAAATAATTTTTGGCTGCGGGGGGGTGATTGGGCGGTCTTCCGGCGGCGGTTTGCTGCCACTTGCGAGCTCGCGGGGTGGTCCGATGCAGAGGCGCTACGTATTTTTCCCACCGCGCTGGATGACGCAGCCTTGGCGGCGTTTTTTACCATTCCCGAGGCAGACAGAATGACGCTGCGTCAAGTGTACGCCCAGTTGGCGGCAATTTTTGACATGCTGTCCAACGCGTGGGGGGGAGACGGAGACACCCCTCACCTTCAGCAGTGCACTCCTGTCGCTGGCCCAGGATGCATATTCAAGGATGGAGTGGGCAGGACTGGATTCTCTGGTGCTCGAGAAACTGTTGACGCTGGCTCAGGAAATGAACGTTTTTTTGCCGGTCACAGAGGAGGATGACCTGTCCTCGATTCAGGTAGCCCGATGCATCCAGGTCCACTGTAACCTGCGACGACGTGCCGGGGTGGCGGCCGGGGCTTCTTTTCTGGGAGAAGAGGGCAACCAGGAGCACCGAGAGTCTCCCTGGGTCTGCGTGTTGGATGGTTGGAGCCCGCGGGGGAGAGTTGGAGCGGGACGATGACGGGACCAGCGGGGGGGGGGGGGGGGGCCTTGCTTCTGCCATGGCGGGGCCCCATTACCTGCTCCAGGGGCTTCCGTGCTGTTGGGGGCAGTTTTTCCTGGCCTCCGCTCCTCTGGTTCCAAAGGCAGGTCGCGATACGTCACACACCCGGCCGACACAGCCACCTAATGCATCTCCATTGCAGTCAGTGTCGGGTGCACACGCCATCGCCCCTCATAGGGATACGGGGTACGAAGGTGGTGCTTCAGTGCGTGATGGTTGGCCGCAGGGGTCCGGGCAATGGACCGCACTGGCACACTGTGTCATGGCAGCGGGAGCGGGATCATCCATGGTATGTGGATTTGTGCAGGGTGTTGAGGTGCAGATGCTCATAGATACGGGGTCATCCGCCACCATGGTTTCTGAGTTTATTTTTAGGACTCTGCCGTCGATGGTGGGTTGCCTTAGTCCGGTAGATAATCCATGTGTTGCCGCTAATGGTGGAAGTTTAGGCATTGTGGGCCAAATTAAGGCATCAATACGGATTGGCGATATTGAAAGGACGGCCCGGTGTTGGTTTAAAGTTCGTTGGCTCTGCCTTGTTTATTGGGAACAGATTTTTTGAAGAGGATGCCCCTCCAGATTTTAATTGACCAGGGCTGTGTGGAGTTACCGTTGGGGCATTGGTTGAGGATTTTGGAGTCCCCTACTGGGTGGTATAGGGCTAACGCTGGTGCGTGAAACTGTTAGGGTTCCCCCCGGGCGCACAGATGCTCATACCTTTGAGGCTGTGGAAGCGGCTTGACCAGAAAATCACTGGGGGTGGGGTCCTTTTAACCCCTTCGAATAGAGCAATTCGTGAGCTCACTTTGATAGGTGCTCAGAAGATGGTGAGGGGGGGATCAGGAGCCCTTCCTGCAAGTGTTAAATGCTGGGCTAGATACCGTGGTCATACAGGCTGGTATGGTTTTGGCCCACGCGACGGTTGCGTGTTGTGAGGAAATGGATGTTGTAACCACTCGAGTCGTGGCCGCGGTTGAACATGAAGCGGTGTTGGATTGCTCGTGGGCGGATCCGTTGTGCATAGGTAATTCGGATTTCTCGTGGGAGCAGAGAGGCGCGTTGCGGGCATTGCTTCGGGAATTCTTCGATGTATTTAGTAAGGGTAAGTTCGATGTGGTCCGCATGCCCATGATGAGTCACCATATTGATGCGGGTGGTGCCGCCTCCATTCGTCAAAACTCATTTCGGTTTAGTCCAAAAGAAAAGGACTACGTTCATCAGGCGGTCGATGAGATGTTGGCCGCCGATATAATCTCCCCATCAACCAGTCCGTGGGGTGCTCCCATTGTCCTGGTTAAAAAGGACAGGAGTTTGCGATTCTGTGTGGACTTTCGGAAAGTCTCCATGGCGGATGCATATCCGCTCCCATGGATGGACGATTCGTTGGATGCCCTGTCGGGGGCGCGGTTTTTCTCCACCCAGGATCTATTGTCAGGGTTTTGGCAGTTGCCCCTGGATGAAAGTTCAAAACCCAAAACCGCGTTCCGGACACCGCAAAGGCTGTTTCAATTTAACGTGCTTCCGATTCACTCAGCTCCGGCCACGTTCCAGCGACTTATGGAGTTGGTACTGTCGGGGCTCCAATGGGAGTCATGTCTGATCTATTTGGATGACGTGATTGTCTTTGGCCGCACGTTCCAGGAACATCTGCAGCAGTTGCGTGCGGCATTTGTTAAAATGCGGGCGGCTAATTTGAAATTCAAGTCACAGAAATGTTACCTCTTGCAAAAATCAGTTCGATACTTGGGGCACATTATTAGCGAGTCCGGGATCACCACAGACCCTGACAAAACTGTGTGCATGCATAAGTGGCCGACCCCCACGTCGGTAGGTGAGGTCTGCAGTTTTGTGGGGTTCATGTCGTATTACCGCCGCTTCGTGTCTGGGTTTGCGACAATCGCAAAGCCGCTTCACGCTCTCAGAGCAAAGGACCAGAGGTTTCAGTGGGGGACAGAGGAGGTTACGCTGCGCGATGGCCTCGTGAACGCAACCCCCCTTCGGTAATCTGATTTCTCCTTGCCATTTACGTTGGATACGGATGCCAGTAATACCTGGATTGGCGCCGTGTTGTCGCAGGTGGAGAATGGGGTGGAGAGCGTGGTTGCTTACGGAAACTGGGTGCTGTCCCCTACAGAGCAGCGCTATTGTGTTATGCGCCGCGAGTTGTTGGCTATTGTGCACTTTGTACAACAGTACCGCCCGTTCGACTACAGTAGGCAGTTTACGGCGCACACAGTTCACGTGGCTTTGCAAAATGCACTTCGCGTTGACCAGCCGTGGATGCTCTGTCACGTTTATCGCCGAAGAGCCAGTGCGCATGTTTGATGGGCGCCGGCCGTTGTAAGCAGGTGGATGCGGGGAAGCCGGGCGCCGTGTTAGCATCGGTGGATGCTCCGCCACCCGTACAGGAGGTGGCACGCGATAATAATATTGGTCTTGAGCACGAGGAATGGGGGCGCCTCCAAGCGGAGGACGCCTCCTTACTAAAGTCACAGCATCGTGTTTATGCACCAAGCGATAGGAAGGATCTAGAAGATATGTCCCCCGTGGTCCTCTGGGATGGGCTACTTATGCGCTGGGATACGGAGGCACAGCGGTACTGTATCATGGTGCCAATTGCTCTGCAGGGTAGAGTGGTAAGAGCTGCCCATGTGCGATTGATGCACCTAGGGGTGCAGAAAACGTTGGCTACGCTGAAGCGGGACTTCTTTTGGCCCGGGATGCCAGAGGGCATTCACAACGTGCTCAAAGGATGTGTAGAATGTGCCTGCCAGAAGCCCCCACCGAGACCGACCCGACCACCGCTGCAGTCCATTGAGGTGTCCCGTGTAAACGAGCTAGTGGCCCCCGACATCCTCGGGCCATTTCCTACCACTCGGAGGGGAAATACATTGTTGCTGATAGGGGTAGAGTACCTGTCACGGTGGCCGGTGGCATGGCCCCTACCAGATCTGTCGGCGGCGTCCATTACGAACGCGTTCCTGTATGGTTATATATTAGATAAAAGGGCCCCAGAACGTCTCCTTACGAACCAAGGCCGAAATTTTTCTTCAAAACTATTGCAAGAGGTATGTAATTTGTTGGATACAAAGAAAATTCGAACCTCGCCCTACCATCCCCAGACTGACGGGATAGTAGAGTGTTTACATAGGACACTTACGTCCATGTTGTGCCAACAAGTCAACGAGGCACAGTCCGATTGGGACCTACACGTTCCGGGAGTTCTTCTGGCCTATAGGATGATCCCTCGTGCCTCTACCGGGTTCTCCCCATTTTCTTATGCAAGGGAGAGAATGCGACCCCCCCCCCCCCCCCCATGGAAGCCCAGTTAAATATTGAGCCAAGAAAGAAGAGGATCGCTCTGCTGGGACTGATGAGCCTCACCCTAAAGTGGTGACGGGAGCACGGGAGGTGTCCCGGGAAAATTTAGCCAAACGGCAGACTGCAAATGAGAAATTGGTTGGGCTTAAGGAATCGGGGAAATTGTGCAAACCCGGGGAGGGCATGGCTGCATTGCCCCCAATTGCCCGTGGGCACATCTCCTAAATTGTATACGCCAAGGTAGGGCCCGGTGGAGGTAATTGAGGTTAGGAGGCCACAGTGTGTACGGATCCAGGTTGGCCGCAGGCGTTGGTATGTGCACCCGTCATGACTAAAACCATATCTTCTACCTTATGTGAGAAATTCATCTCCACCATCTGATGGCCGGGCGTGTGATGTGTTCGACGGGGACGGACGTACGCTTACGGAGAGTGCACCTCTGCGAGACTCCGTTCCTCCATCCGCAGGCGGTGCCGCCAACAGGCAGACCGGGATGGATGGTACAACCGCCACCCACTTCGTCCTCTCCTCCATCTTCGTCTCGGGGGGGGGGGGGTGCTGCGCCCGTTGGGCCAGCTGCGAGTCACCCCCGGGGTCCCTGGGAGACCTGTACTGGGTCCATACGAGGGACCGGCGACAAGGACCCGTTCCAAGCATGGGTGGCAAGGTAAGGTTTAAAACAATTAGGTTTGATAAGGTTTAAATATAAAACCTCAATTTCCCGAAGGGCCAGTTAGGATGAGGTTTTGAGGTTTATTATAAAAATACGCCATTTTGTTTTTTGCAGGAACTCTGAAATCTTGGCATCACCTGAGTTACTAGTGTCATCAAATTAACCAAATTTCCACCGCAAGCAGGATCATGGATCAGGACCTGGATGAGGATTTACTCGATTCCGAAGAACGTGATAGTGATGTCGTAATTGTGAGGGACAAGAATCGAGTGGCCGATGTGGAGAAGGATGGAGTGGCCGACGAGGCGTCGGCGAACACAGGGAAGGCCAGAGGACGCTCGATGGGCCAGTTTTGGCACTACTTCACCGATGATCCGGAACCGGACAAGTTGAAGAGTGCCGTCTGCAAATATTGTCGTACCAGATTACACCATCACAAGAAGAGTGAGCAGGCGATGAGGCACCTGAATGCATGCGCCGCTTTTCGGAGGGAAATGAATGGCACCGAGATAGATGATCGTCCCGAGTGGTATGCGTCGAATAAGAAGCGGGCGAAGGCAAGAGGCAGCTCAACTCCATCTACATCGAATGCTTCGTCCATGAAGCAAGGATTGCTCAAAGATCACCTAATACCCAAGCTCAATGAGCGAACGAAGGAGAAGTTCAAGCAGGCCATAGCAATGCATTACTTTGTCTTGGGCACATCGTTCCAGCAGGTCGAGGAGGAGAACCTAATGATCGCTGTGAAGGCACTTTGCCCAGATGCAGTGCTGCCGAACAGGAAGAGGCTGGCCGGACTTTTGCTCGACAGGGCGTATATCGACATGAAGAAGAAGCAGTTCAATCTTGATTTGAAGCTTTCGTTACTGCAGGAATCCATACTCTTTGTTTGGTTCTTTCGCTAAAGTCACGTAGGTAGAAAATAAAATAAATCACGACGTTTCGGGCGCAAGACAAGCGTCCGTCATTAGGTGGGAAAGCATGGTCTGCTGCTGAGGCTGACTGTTTTAAAAGGTTTGAAATGGGTGTAGCCTAAGGGTCATAAAGAAGTGGCCGGGGCTAGTGATGTTAATGTGAGAGATTAGCATGTTACTGTAGAAAAGGAGAGCGGCCTCCTCGACGAGGGAGTGCAACCCAATGAGTGTAATCCAAAGGGCATGTGAGCATGAGAGTGCATTCCAAAAGACGTGAGCATGAGAGAGGCATAGGGAGAGACACACAGAGTCGAAATAACAGCTGACATAGGCAGGTAGGATGGAAACATCACAGTCAGTAAAGGCTTCACCTGGTTTATAACATCCTTCCAATGATTGCTCAGTTTGTACCCATCCTCTCAGTTGAAGTTGTGTCTCTGTTTATATATCTGGATGGCTTCATGAACAAATCTCTGATAGCCATTGGGTTTGCAGAGTACCTTCGTCTTGAAATAGATTGTGCAAATATTTATTAATTTAAATGAAGATGAAACCAGCATGAATACAAAAATAACATAAAAGGGAACACTGAAAGGTAACCAAAAATAAGTGGAGTGAATTAATATCGTTAAGAAAGTTGTTTTTTTTAGTGATGCATATTGCTAGATATAATTAGCCAATGAATGGAAGACCACAATGGATGGCAACATATGGAGAGGCCTTTATTCAGCATTTGATTGTTCTTGGCTGTTGATGATAATATTCAACCAGTTGTTTCTGTAGATAGTGCTTGACTCGCATTCACGGCATTGTTGATATCGGTAAAGAGTTGATGGAGTGCGTCATCCCCCTAGGGTCAATACAATTATTACCACTTTATGAGAAATCAGCAGTGGTTATCCCATGGAGATGAGTATCTGCCACACACAGGAATGTGTCTTTTTATCCACTGTTCTCGGCCACCAATGGTGATAAGCACTACCCAACGCTCGTTTGATCGGGGATCGAGACAGTTTGACAAGAAGGCTACAATAATGTGTAATTAACAAATAAGTCACTCCAACCTAGTGGTAGGTCTGTAATATATAGAGTACTAATAATATTTTACAGGCCTTTGTCAATTCATCTCTCTAAGAATTAAGATTTCGCTGGGCCGGGTCAGTTTGACCAAGCTTCTCTATTTTGTGTTGTTCACTTGCCACTGATGATGTTCTAGCTTTTAACTCTGACAGTGGCAGCCGGTGATTGATCGAGGAAAATGGGAAAACAACTTAAACACAACTTAGCTGCACATTTGCATGTTCATGAATCGTGTTATATTTTTGGTGGTTGACACCCGATAAACTAGAATTTCGCAATGGCGGCTACTTGTTACTGAAAGCCAACAAGTCTGTGTTTGGATCGCTTCGCCCTTAGAAAACACATGGGAGCAATGACGCAACATTGCCGCTGTAGCGCCGGCCCCTATTACCACCTGCTGTGAAGCTATTGGACTGAATAAAATTGAATGAGTAGAACAGATTTAATGAGAAACGCTCACATTCTATGTAGACTCTATTGGTTTTCTGGGGAATAAAGGGGCACAGCGAGTTTGGCCCCTTGTCTTGATTGTCATATGCATTTGTCAGTTAATGTACTTCACAAATGAATAATATACATTCTTGATTTGAATCTTTCGTGACTGCAGGAGTCCATACTCTTTGGTTCTTTCGGTAAAGTCACGTAGGTGTAAAATAAAATAAAATAAATCACGACGTTTCGGGTGCAACACAAGCGTCCATTCCCACCTAATGATGGACGCTTGTGTTGCGCCCGAAACATCGTGATTTATTTTATTTTACACCTACGTGACTTTACCGAAAGAACCAAAGAGTATGAATAATATACAAATAACCCATGTCCCACCTGGCTGCCACTGACTCAGTGGACTAACTGCACCACCACTCCTCCCTCATTCTATTGTGTATATCTCTCTCTATATACAAACAAACACAGAGACCCCCCCAGATTGTGTGGCAAACTTCTGTGGTGAGTGTCGTTAGTGAGCTCCTATTAGGGCCAGCAAGGTAAACAGAATAGCTGCTGGGTCACGTGTGTCTGCTCCAAGTGCTGGTGTTGTTGTTGATTCTACACAATCTGAGGCTGCATTGAAACTAGGTGAGGCACGGATCAGCTCCACTGGTGGACACGGCCCAAAAATCGAACCCATGTGACTGGGATCGTAGCGAATGGACGACAAACGCCGTACGCACGTTTCAGTTTCATTTATTTGGTACAGCCCTGTGCCATTCGGTTCTTGAATCGGTTGCAACCGCAACAAACAAACAAAAAAAACATGAACAAGAAAACGTGCTGCATGTATATAAATAACGATGTTTATAGAGACGCTGCGGAGAGTGGAAGTCAAATGTTACAGTTGTTCCATGTTGGAATTGCCTGGTGCTCAACTCCAATGATGGCCCTGAGCCAGTTGCGTGAGTTGTGCCTACTGCGGTGGTGACAGAAATCTGTAGTGCGATCTAAAAACATCGACTGCTGCGGTCCTCACATTAACCCAAGCTGCTGACATTATAATTTCCTGCTTTTGTTTTTGAAATCCTTTTCATGTCTTCAGAAATTAATATAATCATAAAAATAAACCAACGGATACATCCTAAGTTATTAATAATACGATTACAGAAATACTGGATTATCATTACCAGCCTACGGTAATCTGATTTGCAATGCATTAGGCCTCAAAACTGCCCATGTTGCCCGCATTGATTGCTGAGACTGCTACGTGAGACTGAATAGCTCACACAATGACTAAACCTCACCTTTGCAGCAGTCATGAATCATTAGTGTAGCTCACGCAGACTTTCAACATCATGAGATGACCTGTGCACCTCACAACTGTTTACCTTCTTAACCGCCACCTTGGACTGTCTAGACAGCATCATTGAGCTGTCAGAGATGAACCGCAGGTTCCATTCAGCCTCAGCCACCGGCTGCACAATGTTTCCTGTGCCTACGGCACATTTGTATTTAATCACCACATGATGTGGAACACTGTATTCCTCTAACTCCTTTATTTCCATTTAATTGCCCGCTACTTTCGATGGACTACTAACGGCAAATGCAACAAAACAATGTTACCCTACTTAATAAATTGGTCGGCACTAGCTCAGGACTACCAACAAAAACGATTACTGCCCATCACCTAATACAGAAAAAGGGGGCATACTTTATATTGTTGAGCGCTGGTGCAGCTGCACAAACCTGCACATTGTAGTTACACCGCTGCTCAGAGTGCAGAAATATCCATAAGAGAATGAAAAAAGTTCTGTAAAACAGAGGCTGCCTGAAACAGGCACTGTCTTCGGCCCATTTGTGGTAAAGCGTGGCTTGAATAGCATCGCAATGCCCTTCGTGAGTGTGTACTTCATAATATTACAATACAACACACTCGGAGATTGTTTGCAGACAGCAGTCTGATTGTTTTGGGTACGCAGTGCCATTTACCAAATATTGGCTGAGACTTTTAGCACATAGTGTAGGCACAAGTAAGCTCACAATGGTCTTCCTGTGGATCATGAATGGGGTTCACTGCTATAGATGGCAGTTTTTTTTTCCCGAGCGTACAAAGATATTCGTGCTGCAGTTTAGTAATTCAATCTTGCTAATGGCCAATCGGCTTTAAGAGCTTGCCTATATAAGACATGCAATTTCAAGTGACATGACTGGAACAGGAGCAAGTTCGAGTTACAAGTACTGATCAAACTTGTAAGTCATTATTGGCAACGGTTGTTAACCAGATGTCTTATTTCTATGATGCAAAGCAACCAGCAACATAGAGGGCTAAATTAATGAAAGCCAGTAAGGGATAACAAGCTGTCTTGGAAATAAGCGAGTTCTAAATATCGAGCTGTGTGAGAAAGAGGAAAGGGAAAAATGTTCTATTCCACAATGAGGCAGCTGCACTAAGTATGAATGATATACATGCATTGCCTCCTTCCCACGTAATGCCTCCTTACACAACATCAGCTGCACAGCCTTCTGGGAGTGCATCTTAGCAGCAGCATTGGCTCAATAAAAGCAACCTCTGGACTCGTTTCAACATTAAGTGTCTCATCAGCAAGTCAGGCTTGCTTGAATAAATGCTGTTGAGCCGCCCAATGTTTATAAGCAAGGTCCCCCTCCTGTAGTAAATTGGTCTTAGTTTTTACGAAAACTGAAATAATACGTGGAGTATATACGGAGAGGCTAATATTTGGAAGGAGGCGTTATTTATTCCGCAATACATATTTTCGACAACAACGCGTAGTGTGAATGGGTGAAGTTGGTCAAGCGTGTAAAATACATCGTAGCAATTGGAGCTGGAATCCAGGCATGCAATACCTAAGTGCAATGACCACGAGAGTAGGGTTAAAGTGGCAAACGAAAGACAAGACGAAGACAGATTAACGACGACAGAATGATATCGTCAATCAGTCGACATCAACCATCAATCAGCAGGACAGCTTTACACTGAATTCTAATTAATGGCCCAATACACAATATAATCTGCTTTAGGCTTACATTTTTAGCATTGTGTCTAACACCAAAGTCAAGGCCCATCCTATTTTTTAATTTCCCAGAAGCGACACCACAGGCTTTTCCAATATCCTTTCGGGGTCTATTTTCCACAACCATTCGACCGATCTCTCTTTATCTGTGCAGATGGTCAGCGGGTTAGTCTGCTGTATAAGGCCAAGGTGACTGAAAACAACTAAAAGTATGGTCCTTGTTTAACATCTTCAACACAGGTCTTGCTTCAAACAATGATATAGTTGCGTATGATATCGTAAGCTTTGGTCACCAAACAACACTTACTCACTAAAATGGGATCAATGAGATTTCCATCGCTCACTTGAGTCCTTCACATAAAATAGAGAATTGTTGGTTTAATATATACAATTTTTTTTAATCGTCCAAGTTTCTCTATTGCATACTCAAATATGCTTTGGGTGGCCC